ACGCCGGCCTGAACTCCTGCGACCCCCACCCCGCTCGTCCCGTGCCCACACATCTCCTCAGTCGACTTAAAATGGCGACTTCACCAAAGACCCGGGAGCTGAACTAAGGAGTACTAGGTCTACACACCTCTGGAAGGCGGATTTAGACCGGGCATCAGGAGAACCTGCTTCACAGCCCGTGTCCAGGGACAGACTCCCCCCAGAGATGGGGCAAGCGCTGTCTCCGGCCTTATTCAAAAGGCGTCTGGCTGTTTATCCAGCTGGGATCGTTTGACCCCAGCAGATTTCAAAAGGCCTGGCCTCCATGATTTCGGGAGGTCCTTTTCAGCCCCTAATGTCTATGAGATCTATGAAATTCACTTAAGCCAGGCTGCAGCGTGCACACGTACAGCTCCCTGAGGTTGTGGCAGCCATACTGTGAGCTAAGTCGCTTACCTAATACAGCGAGTAACAGTGAGTGCTGTAGGGGCACACATGGACACACACCCCCTTTGGAGATATATTATCTGTTGCCACATTTAAGTCAACTCTGCTGCACATAGGTATGTACGCTCTGACAGTTAAGTCAACTTTAAAAAGTCGCTTCGCTGTCAGAAAGTCAGTTTGTGTGTATGCACTAATGCCCAGGCACTTCATGCAGGGCAACGGCTGGGCCCTCTGTGAGGGCTGGAGGTCTCCCGGTCTCAGGCTTCAGCCTGAAAGGCTGGGTCACCAGGGTTACTGACTCCAGGATTGCCCTGGAGTCCCCAGGAATTAGAGATAAATCTCCAAGAGACTGCCGAGAGTCACCCCACAGATAGATGATAGTCGTTAAATACTCAATGTTGAATCCAATTTATACAGGAGCCCAAAGAGTTTTTAAAATGTAATAGTAATGTGCGTTTGCCTTCCTGACCTAAAGTCCGCACTGTAATGTCATTACATCATGTGATGAAACATCCCAGAATAGAGTCAAACAGGGCTGGCAACCCTCTGGGGCACACGTGCACTAGAGAAGGGCAACCAGGATGTGTAGTGGGACAGAGGGGCTCCCACATGAGCTGAAACTGAACCAGTTAGTTTAGAAAGAGAGACACTTGAAAGTGGGACATGAGAACAGTTAACAAAATACTAATGGGGGAAGAGAGTACATGGGGATTTATGATCCGCTCTTTCCCCCCAGACAACAACTAGGAGTCCCAACATGAAACCAGTAGGCAGTCAGTTTAAAACTTAACAGAAAGAAGTTTTTCCCCCCACAGAGTATGTCATTCAAGTGTGGAGCTCCGTGCCACCAGCTGTGCTGCAAGCCTGCAGTTTAGCCAGATTCAAACAGGGCTTGGACCAATGGCTGGAGGAAAGGGGCATGGGCTGCTACTGAGTATAGGAGTGAGGGGTTCAGCCTCTGAATCAGAGCTTCTAGACCTTAAATGCTAGAGGCTGCAAGTGAGAGGAACCATGGGGAAAAAACCCTGTTCCTACCATCCAGTAAATGGCAACTCTCAATATCTTAAGCAAGAAACTTCTTTATACCATACAAGCCAGCGAACAGCCCGAGCTTGAAAAGTGGTGGTACAGCCACAATTGTGCCAGAGACAAGTATGTCTTAGGGTGAGATCCTTTAGTGGACCAACTCTGTACCTGGGATAACAGGCAAGTTTTTGAATGCAAAGCACTTTTCCTCATGTCTCATTGGGAAGCTTGTCTAATATTCTCCCAAGTACAAGCTTTCCATTGAGACCTGAGGAAGAATGCCTGGCATTCAAAAGCTTGTCCAGTCATTATCCCAGCTATAGCATTGGTCCAATAAAAGATCTCACCCTAAGAAATCCTTGCCTCCTCTATTCCACCCAAAAAGAGCTGCAAACCTGGATTCTGCCACGCAAGCTGGGATCTTGGGGGATTTTAGCTATGCCTGCCCCCTGGTACATACACCTAGAGATGCACCTCATACTTCCCCCACGTTTATACCTCAGCCACTCAGCATATAGCACAGCCAGATTTGCACCTCCTTTACTCATTAGTTTTCCTCTAAAAACTAATCAGCAAAGGGGGTCATTTCAAATTATTTTTCTTGAAAAGTATTTCCCTTTATAATCTGGAATTTTAAACTAGCAATAATTTCTATGTACAGTGATACTTTTCTACCAGAAGGGAGCGCGCTAGGACTGGTGTTCAGACCCTGGGAGAAAAAGGTCCCTAAGTGTGCGCCATGGAATCCTCTTCTTCAGAACAGCACAGGCAACTTTTGTAAGTAATGTCAAACATGTCATTTTTACAAACTCATTCAAGAGAGTCTAAGAAATGCTCAAAACAGGTTGGGAAAAAAAAAGACTAGAGGGCACAATGAAGGTCTTCAGAAGGAAAATTCCAGCCAGACAGAACAGCAGGAAAGTAGCAGTTGCCAAAAATAGCTCACAAAGGTGAGAAGGACCACGAAGGCTGTTCCTATGGGTATCATTAAATGCAAAACAATCTGAGAAGTAAATAACGCTCCACTCAGCTAATATCTAGATCAGTGGTTCTCAACGTTTTTTATACCAGGACCCATCTGCAAACATTAAAGGCCAGTGCCGACCCAGTGACCCTCACTCCTGATCCCCTGGCCCCAGCCCCACAGTGTGAGGCAGGGGGAAGGTATGGGAGGCATGGGGGTCCCCAAGCAGCCCCTTGCAAGTTGGAACTCTGACAGCCCGCAAGGGAAAAGCCAGAGTTTCCCACATTTTCTCTATTTTTAAAGTTTGTTCATGACCCTTTTATATGTTCTCATGACCCACAGGTTAAGAAACACTGATCTAGAATATACTAGTATCTATATGTTCATGTATGTAAGAATACAAAGTTCATACCCTCCAATTTTAATATCCTACATAATTTTTTTGGTACGTGAGGTTTTCCCTCTACCTTTGACTACATACAAGGGAATGTTTCCAATTGACAGCTCACTCATGGCTGAGAAAAAAATGAGTATGAGTAGTAGAGAAAACAATTATTTGAAGAGTTAGCAAAGCCATTAATTATAATCTATTTATACATTAGCCTTCCAGATTTATTAAAGTGGCACATGCTAAAGGGAACAAAAGTTTAATGTGAAGAAGACAGAGAAGTGCCTTTTCACACCCAAGTCTTTTTTTACAATATTACATTTCTCTGAATTACTCTAGGACAAGCAGCTACTCCACTCTAGTAGGAATGGCAGAAGTGTTGTATTGACAAGAAGTAGTCATTAACCATGAGACAACTCAAATTATTTTTATGTCTTTCTGGATAACTCCACAAGGCCAAGCATATGGATTTCCTATCTAAAGTTACTAGAGGGATATGCAAGAATAGCTATAAGACCTTGCTAACAGTCTGAGAGCAGAAAGCAATCAAAACAGTCTCCTCAGGAAATAAATGCTTGGAGGCCTAATCAAGGCCTCTTGCAAGGGGTTTGGAGTTCATACCTGGCAATGTTACTGACATAAGAAGCTCAGAATAGGCTGAGGAATCCAAGCAGGACCCTTCAACTTCCTCTAGAGGCAGATACTCCCTGAAGGCAAGATTAGACACCAAGGTGGTAAAGCACTTTAAGAATTGCACCTTAATGGTGCCTATACACTGGCAGGGAGGCTGCTCTGACATGCTGTAAGTCTAGTGCATTGGAGCGTGGCAATTACTATGCTCCAGCAGCATCCTGCGTCTCATGTGTGTCCCCACATTTCCAAATGGTGGCGGAGGTATTTTATCTAAAGCTCGTTGAACAGGGACGCTGATGCATGAGATGTTCCAGGCACTTTAGAGCCTGCCACTTATTACTGAGACTCTTGCTCATGCATACGCACCCTTAAGGTGCAACTCTACCTTATCTTCAGTGTGGCTTTATGCCAAGATTAAAAAAAAAAAAGAAAGGGACTTTTATTAGTCCCTTTACTTCCAAAGGGCTTTGCCACCTTGATTTCTAATCTTGCCTTCAGGGAATATCTGCCTCTATAGAAAGTTGAAGGATCCTGCTTGGATTCCTCACCCTGTTTTGAGACTTTTATGTCAGTAAGATTGCCAGATGTGAGAGCCGCTTTAATTAAAGCACCTCCCACCCCACTCCTGGAGCATGTGTATAAATACCCTAGCAGTTTAACTAAATTAGGTATGCCTAAACTTTCATGAAAAACATCCTACTTAAGACCATACTAACAACTTCAGACTAATTTAAAAATGTAAACAGGAGTTTATAAAACTCAACAGATAAAATAAATTAGATTAATTTCTTAACTAATTCAGCTGAAAAAGAAACCAAGAGATGGTTAGGTTAGGGGTATTCCACCTGTAGCTTATTGCATACATGTTTCCTGCAACTGTTGTTATCTGCAAGCAAAGGTGAAGGGGTTACAGTAAAATTAGACAGACAAGGAGCTGTAAGCATCACAAATCTTCTCTTTCCAATTGTGTTAGTGACTTATTTTTCCTTGTTTTGTTAAACCTGATCTAGATTAGTATCTATACTTATTTCTAGTCCCACTCTTTTTCTGCTTTTCTATTTGCAAATGCCAAATTGGGGCATAACCAGGAGGAAAATATCATAATAAACACAGCTGGACAGATCATGGGTTTAGGACCTATTTCAAATGGAGAATCAATTTCTTGATGTAGTTTTAAAGGTTTTGTATGTTAAAGTGCTTATTCGTAAGCCTGAATTGCATCACAAAAGCAGTAAAATAAGACCTCCTCACACAGCAATAAACAAGATTGCTTTATATTCTTATAAACCTGCATTATGTGATTTACTAAGCATACACTATAATTCCAGTGCATGGAAAGAAAAAATGTTCACCAAGGTTTTGTTACATAGATTTGATCCTGAGTCTCATACAGATTTCAAAGTTGTTACAGTGGTTCAAAGTGCTGGTGCACAGAAATCTGAGTCATCCTTACCAACAAATGGTACCTAGATTAATAGAACAGCATGCTGCAAATCTCAGACAGTAAGAAGTGGGAGGCCATCAGCCATAGGAAAGGAGAGAAGTAGGTTTCTTCCTAGAGGATGGGGAATAGTTGAAATTAAAGCATAGAGATGAAAGGTTGTGAGAGGACAGAGGGTGTTTGAGAAAGTGTCAGTGGTTGAAAACTAGTTTACATTTCCTAGCCTTTTAATAATATAAAAGTTATACGTTATGTACAGTAAAGTGCATTGAACCATGAAAAAGGCTCAGATAAGCTTCCATCCACATTTATGTTCTAATTTTATGTAAGTATATAAGAAGTTTGATGGTGCTGATTTTACAGTTCATAGGTGGTAAATTCACTTCTTGAAGGGATGATAAGTCTTTACAAAACAAAGTTTTACGTTGTGTCAAGCACATGCCTACCCTGAGAACCCCTTGCCTATTTTGCTGGTTTATGACTACATTTTCATTTCCCTCTGTCCATTTAAAACAGATTAAAGACCTGGAGAGGCTACATACAGCACTGAAGACTAAATGCTTTCAAATGCAAAAATGTAAACCCATTGAAAAAACCCCCCCAGAAATATTTTTCCTCTAATCTTTCAGATAAAGATGTTAACTAATTAGTTGGGAGGAGGGTGACAGGGTGGAGGTATCTCTTTAAAGTTACCGATGGAACATTCTATTGGATATAATCCAGGGAAACCTAAATCTCAACACCAGCAATTTCACAGATCATTTATCCTGAAATACAAAGGATCCTTGAATGCAAGTTACAGAGCTCTTTGAAAACTAGTTAGTTGCACATTACTTTACTTCTCAAATATACATAGCTCCAATGTCCTTCACTGTCTTGGAAACCAGGAAATTGTGCTTTAGAACTGGATGACTTGTCTTTTTCTTGCTTGATTCTTCTGAACCATTTCCATAGAAACTTTGGCTTCATACAATGGGACTGGTTCATCCAACTGAGGCCTAGAAAGGAGACATCTGTCAGAAGCGTCTGGTGTACATACTCAGATCAATAAAACCATTCCAGGACTAGTGTTATAGACTTTACTTTATACAATGTAAACTTTACTCCTTGAACAAAGTGAAAAGTTCTATAGCTCTGCTAGGATCCCTAGAAAAGAGGCAAAGGTCTAAAGCAAACAGGAAACAGAAGTTTAATTAAGACATCCTTTTGGAAAAAGAAATCCTTTTTGATGGATGGGAGTGCTAAACTTCCCACCCCATGTATGAGAATCTCTCATTTTATGCTTTTGTGGCAGCTTCAAATTCTACAAAAACTGTCATTCTTCTGAAAGAGAAAAACCTCAAAGACCTGTCTTTCTGTACAGCCAATACCACTTTCTCAATTACATATGCTATGTAATGAGTTCTTTCCATAGGAAAAGAAAGGGCTGCGTTTGAGGGACTTCCTGGTTCTCAGTGCATAAACAAGGAATTGGAATAGGACACAAACCATCTTTTTGGTCAACCTGCCTCATTACCACTCAGACAACAGTAACAAGTTTTATATAAAGCAAACTCTCATTATATAGTGCTGAGATTCTGCCAAACAGGTATTTCTAATCACACTGTTTCTTTTCATTGTATTATACTGTATGCCACTGTTCTGTTGTCTTACCTGAACACATTACTTGATAACTTCTCCATTATATCTTCTAAGATACGTATCTGAGGGGTTTGTCAAGGTGATAACACATACCCACAAGGCTCTAAGGCCAAATTCTCCATGTACCTGTATCTGTGCAGCTTTGCCAAGCTCAGGGCCTAAAAATAAGATGATTTAAAAACTGGAAGCAGAGCTCATCCGAGTTTTACCTTCATGTCAATAGGGAAAAGAAGGTTTTAGTTGTTAGCATTTTATCAGTCATGAAAAAATTAAGTTAGGTTAATTCAATTTTAAGGGAAATGTATTAGCTAGTTCAAAGAAGCTATTTCAATCTGCTCTCCATATGGTCTCTTCTGTTATTTATGTAAAATAGTTAAGAAGCACAAATACTGTAACACAGGTGTATGCAATGTTTCTAAATAAGAATTCAAGGTGAGGTTACTCTGTTTAACCATCTGATGATATCCAACATGCTAAAATATATGCTTTCTGGTTATAACTTCAGGGGTGACAAAAGAAATTCTATTTGTCTAGATAGCTTATTACAAGCCACAATTAGAAACTGTACTTTTCAGACTGACTAACCATTAAAAAAAAAAAAATCAGGAAAACTAATTCAGTTATACTAAACACAAATGTCAAAGAATAATCTTTAAGAAGCAGTTTTGTGATTACTTGCTTCCCTCCCCACACTTCCTTGGTCTGCTCGACTTTAGCTAAACTATTGTGCAATTTAGTGGAAAAGGGAGGAGGAACTTCCCTTTCCCAAAGTGTGTTAATATAGTTAGCACTTTTCTAGAAGGCAGTGACTTAGTCTTTACTTTCCTGTGCTTTTCTGCTGAACTGTGAAAATGATTCAGCAGATCTCATGATCTGCAGTGCAGTACAGAAACAGGGAGGGTTATGACAACCAAAATTGAGCAGTGGCTCATCTGTTCAAGATGACCCACTGCCAAGGACTGTTATATTACTAAGCAGCTCAGTGTGTAACCATGCAAGAAAAAGATGCAGACCATATGTATATGGAGTCATTTGTCTGCCCAATATACACACAATTTGCTCAACAAAATACAGATAACAGAATTGGCAAATGAGGAATGTTGTCTTACAGTACAGTCCTTATGAAGATAAAAATATAACCAAAAGTTAAGATTTTTTTTTACATCAATATATATGCAGATGGAATCCAAATAAATACCTGGTTTAAACAATAAGCAGGTGACATTCAATACAATAAATGTATAAAGAAATTATATTTTAAGTAGTGTTAAATTTTAGGTTTCTGATTTAGTGTTTTGATAGATCAGAGTCTATGCTAGTAATTTTCAAGCAGGTTACTGGGTGATGGTTAATATCACTTTTAAAAGGATATAAAGATACTTTCCTTGCTGTACAGTTGACAAATTCCAAACTTCATCGTTCAGAAAAGAGACTGTTGCTCCTTTAAGGAACAGGCAATTGCTGTCTGGAGGGTCCAACTTATATAAAATAATAAAAGTACCATTATGCTACATTTTCCAAAAACTGGCTAGTTAATTTATCAGTAAAAGATGAAAAACCCTTCCAACCACATCACAAATTAGCCAATCCAAAACAGTTAAAATACATTTTTTAAAAACAGTACTTCTATAACTGGAAAAAGTTCTAGTACTCCAAGCCCAACAGAATTCACCTTTACAAAATGAGACAGCAAACTATGCTATGACAGTCATTTCTTTTCTACTCAACTACTTTTTATAAAATTAATCTTCTATCTTATATAAAGGAAACAAAAAGACTATTATTAATGTTTTCACAAGATAAGTGTTTCCTGCTGCTTTGGAAATAAATATCAAGGTTTTTGTATGAATCAAGCTGATATTTAACAGTGGGAAACCATTAAGCTGTGAGAGTGCTCCATGGACTTCTGTCCTAAAATAAATGCTGTGGTTAACGCTAACTTGCAGAATGTATGCCTTGCCTGGAGATTTCTTTCTGTAGTTATCCAGTGTCCTCCAACACCAAGAAGTGTAATGATATCATGCTTATGTGGCAGAAGTTGCGATTTTAAGTTTGACTCATCTTCTTTGCTGTATAACCTCACTAAAAAAATATGAAAGTTATGGTCAATTCATAACTTAATTATAAAAAATTAGTATTCAGCACAAAGCATCCATAAGAAGAAAAACGTTTTGTATACATTAAACTAATACTACAGTATTTTTCCCTGAAGAGCACTGAAAACTATATAGCCAGGGAACTTTTATAAGTTCCTTCTTTTTAATACTGTACTTCTAGGAATCAACCTTAAATTGATTCTAAAGCTATTTAAAATGGAATAAATATTACTTTTAAGGTGTATTTATTTGTAAAAGTGTGCAATTTAATAAAACCAAATATTGATACCTGGTAATGTAGCAATGAATAGTTACACCTGAATGTGTCTTTAATGGAAATAACTACAAAAAACAGAGTACCTATGAAATTGTGTGTGGTCGTGTACATGCACACACACACACACACACACACTCATACACGCACACTAAAAGAAGTCTCAGAGGAAGTTATTCCAAAAGGTCCTACAATTTCAGTTGAAAATAAAAATAATAATATAACAAGTATTCTCAGCTAATTTATTCACTTTTGCTCTGGTTCTGAGTACTCGCAGAAGACGCTGGACTGACAGCACTGGAGATTTGTGTCCCTTGGTTTACCCATTAAACCAATGGGGGCCAACCTTTTTTGGCTGGAATGACACAAATGAGCCCCAAGTGCCTCACCTATCCCTTTCCCTTTCCCAATCTGCTGTTTAGCTTTCTGTTCTGTGCCCCCTGCCTGATCTGATGCTCTGCTTTCTGCTCCCTGCCCTATCTGCCATGGTGCTGCCTGGCCCCTCCCCAACCTGCTGTGTGTCATGCGGAGGCTGCCTGTGCCACCTGTGCATTGGTGGGCCACCCCTGCATTAAACTATGAGAACATAAACAGTGATAAGGACAGACTTTGCAACTGACAGCTTTTCTGTTATTTCAACCTGAAACAAATTATATGATGAAGAATTTGGGAGATTAATTTTTCAGAATACAGGACTAGACAGGATCTTGTGGGTTATCAAGTCCAGTCCCTGGTTACAGTAGACAACCATGTCACATCACTACATTGCTAAACACATTAACCTTCTATCCCCCCCAGAAGTTACAGCGTTTGCTCCCACTGGTTCTCCTGGAAGGCAGTTCCAAATGTCACTTCTGATAGTTTGAAATATTCTTTTAAATTTCTAGTCTGGGCTTTCAACAATTTGTTCTTGTCCCAACACTGTCCTTTTGCATAAGTAGTGCTTTATTTTAACAACAGAAAAATACATGTTGAATTTAATTGAAGAGCTGTACAATGTCCACAGAAAATAATTTGTGGAGCAAACAGCTAAATACCTTTATTTAAAAAGCAATCCATTTACTAAAATGACTGCTACACAACTAGTACTAATCTGTGAAACATTCAACATTATCTAGCCATACTGGTTTGCTTTCCCTTGAGTGACATGACTACAAATATTTAAGATGGTTCATCCAGTGGTGGTATACATGTATACAACAGGGGAACAGACAACCAGCCTGTTAATCTGTTTGGTAGCTCTGATTTCAAAGAGGCATGTCACAATTTATCAACAATAGAAATATTTAATACTGTTCAATAGAGAAATTTTCCAACAGTTACACACCTCCAGCATCTAGGACAATATCTACTCCCAGGCCACCTGTTTCCTCCAAACAGCTTTCTGCAACATCAATCTTTCCATTTGAAACATCAATCACTCGAGCTGGACAGGACAAGGTATTTGGTCAGTTACAGTAAAGCTTAGCTTAAAAGCAGAACACATGCAGACTAAGTTTCTATTCTTAGGAAATAAAACTGCAACAAAGAAAAAAACAGTAGTTTCTATTCTTCAATTACTTAAAATTGATGACTGAATTTTCAGAAAATTAGACATGATACTTAACACAACATAAAAATGAAACGTACAGCAGTGTTTGGCAGTATAACAACAATCTACTGTTAGTAAGTAGTAAACTATATTGGCATTCCAGTAGGCTAACTAAAATCTTCATTACTAGCAACGTTCGAAAGCAAAAGCAAGTAACTCGAAGTTCTGGAGTAATTAGTTAAATTATATTATGTTCTTGTAGCTCTGTTACTACTGCTAATCAAGATGCAATACATTCTAACATGGCTGCACCACTAAACTGTTTTATTCCTTTGCCAATGCTTTTCATTCTGTGGTACTGGTTTCTTTTATCTAAATAATACAGTGATAACTAGAGATCTGGGTTTTCTGTTTGCCATACAAAAACACAGGTTTCTCCTTTAAAAGGAGAAAAATGTGGAAAATCATGGGTTGGCCCTTGCAGGCTGGCTGAGTGGGATGCAGGGAATGCTACATACACATGTGTGCACGCATACATGCATGTTGCTAGCAATATAGCCAGGCAGGGGTGGAGAGCAGCTTCCCCACCAGCCTGCAGGCAAGTCTATAGTGGGGAGCACAGGCAATGCGTGGGGGTGCAGATTGAGATGGCTACAGTGAGGGTGGGGTGGAACAGGGATGGTGGCTGGGTGTGTTGCCCAGGTGGGGTAGTGTCTGGGTCCAAAGGCCAGGGTGGGAATGTGCAGCCATGGGGCCTGGCTGGGGAGCAGGATGGAGCTACGGGGGTCTTAACCAGGGGGGTGGTGGATGTGCTGGCTCCCTGCCACTGCACACACTCCTAGGGAGTGCCCTTCCCCATTTATGCTTGGATGAGGAAGGATGTGGGCTGCAGACTGCAGGGCTCAGGGCTCTCCGCCCTCTCCCTGGGGGCCTCCTCAGCCTAGCAGGTGGGATCCAGTGTGTGAGGGTAGAGCAGGTTGGTGAGACTTAGTGCTGCTGCTGCTACTGGGAGTCCCGCGCCAACTGTGCTGCCATGGCAATGCACTGCTGCCTGCCCAGCAGCAGCAGGGGCACTTGTGCAGAGTTGTGCGCTCTGCAGCAGTGGCACCAAGTCTCGCTGCCCTGCTCCACCCTTCCATGCTGGGTCCTGCCCACTGGGCTGTGGAGGCCCCCCAAAGGGAGGGCAGCAGGGTGGGGAGCCCTGAGCCCTGCAGCGGGCAGCCCACATCCTCTCCAGCCTGCCATGGGCTCTGCTCCGGCTTTGCCATCCACTGAGCTGGGGAGAGTGGGGCCAGGGCTCCACGCTTTGTTCCCTAGCTCCAGCTGCTGCAGCCTCCTGCATACAGCAGTTAGGACTTGAGCACTGCTGACGCCCATGAAGGAGGGAGTGGGCAGCATACAGCTGCCAGGTCCTATAGCCCTGGCAACTGGGGGCCCTCTCTGGCAGAGATGGGGGGAGGGGAGGGGGGCAGGGAGCTGCAGGCCAGGAGGCTGTGTGTCGAAAGAGAGGGGCACTACCAGGCCTGGGAGGGTGTGGGCCACCAAAAGGTCTGGGGAGGGGGTGTGGCTTGGGAGTGAAAGGCAATGGCATGTCCAGGGCACCAGCACATCAGGGTTGCTCAGCGCCACAAAGCAGTAGGGCGACTACTGCAACTGGATAGGTGTCCTTGTGAGTGAAAGGGGCAGGGGAGCTCTGATTTTCTATGATAAAAAACCCAAAAAGCAAACACCAAAATATAAGGTATTCAGAATTTATTTTATTATAATGATTGAGGCTTCCAAATTGCTTAAAAACTGTAAATATATCAATAAAACATTGTGTTCAATTGATACCTATATAATGGCGCTTCATTTTAATTGAGAAAAAAATAAGGATTTTGGGTCTTTTAATCAGATAATTTTTAAAACATGGAAAACCAGGATCCCTGGTGATAATAATGCTACTTACTTCACAGAGGTGCTGTATGGATTAATATAGTCATTTTTACTTTTAACCTGTTAAGTCCTATATATGCCATTACATAATTTTGCGTTATAGGCTCCCAAAACGTTCTTGAACTAAAAGTTGTCGTTAAGGTTTCCCTTATGTTGCACCAGCTATACAGTAAAGATATCAGGAACTTCCAGGATAAGGAAGTAGCAAACCTCCTCCAGCTTGCAGAATAAAGTAGACAAATTGTCTATAAGCCTCAGGAATAAAGTTTTTGCCCTTTAATATCACCATAACTGAAACCACAAGGCAAATTAGAAGCATATATACAAAATGTAAGACTAAAATTAAATGTGCAAACTGGACTTACCTACTAAAGGCTGCCTCGTACCTTTTTGAAATTAAGAAAGGAAAAGAGAAAGGGGAGAGAAGGATGTATGAATGAGGGCAATTCAAAGAATTACCAAATCAAAACAAAAGCAAACTTTTATTTATGCATTTTTCTTAAGAATTGATGTCTATTCAAATTCTTAAATAAGGACACATCTTCCGGTAGTTTGAAAGCACAGTGGTGTTTAAAATTCTCTAGTTAATAGTTAGTATCTAGTCATATTTCTTGCATGCAAAAGGGATGCCCAAGTGTCACATCTCAGTGGGATGCACCTTGGGTGTTCTCTTCTTACTGTCTTTGATCAATCAGTAAAAATCATACCATGACAAAAAGAGCAATTCAAGATGGTATTAAAATTACAAGTGTAAATTATGGCAGACAAGGTTCTTTGGGTGAATCTGGGTGAAGCTTTTGGGTTCAAAAACCCTTTGTCAAGCTAAGGAAGTTTCTGCAGAAACTTCCTTAGCCTGATGAAGGGTTTTTGAACCTGAAAGCTTGCTTAATAATTGTTTTCCAGCTATTTAAGTTGGTCTAATAAAAGATATCAGATTCACCCAAAGAACCTTGTCTGCCTATGTCCTTAGACTAACATGACTACAACCTACACACAAGTGTAAATTATGGAATAAATGTTTTTCAAAGTTATTTGAAGTCAGTATTACAAAGTGGGTAACTGGTACGTAACTGTTGTAGTGAGAGGTGATAGGCTAGTTATTTGGAAACTCTTTCTTCATCATAGTTGATGTGGTGGTATGTTTAACAAACACTTAGAATTTGGCAAAATGAGTCAATGTGACCTCTTCCTAGTTTAAATGGCATTAGTCACAATACTGTTTCAGCATGCTTCTTGTTAACAAGGTGCTGCGACAGTTTCCTAGTCAGTGAAGACTGTACTTGAGTAAGTAGTTATGATCTTGTAAAATGATTTCTCCTTAGTCCTCTAAACGTTAGAACAAACTTCTCATAAAACCATTTTTAACATGGTTCATCCTTCTCTTCTTTGACCAGAAAAATTATATTAACAGGCCATTAATTATTTGTGCCAAGGAGACTGAAATGACTAACAATCCATGAGCAATTCATTATCAGTAGCTAGCCATTTTCAAATTTTTCATGATATGGATGTTGTATGCTTTGGCATGTCAATGAAGATACGCATTACAAAAATCCAGAGTGCAAACTGGGAGCATGTGGCTTGCTATGAGAACTGCATGATTATATGGCTAAATGCTTAATGTAAAATTTTGTAGTAAGAACTGCATGATTGTGATAAAGTAAAATCAGTTTTTTTCATTTGTATTCATTGCTAGTAAAATACAATTCTGGAAAATGGAACACTAGATCATCTAATGTCTTGTTGAACGAAAAAAAGTGAAAAAGTATCCACTGCTTTTGGAAGCAAGATCCACTGGGTTTTTATATGTGCATAAATGTAGGTGTGACTAATTACACTTTAATAGATTACAAATTGGCCAAAGGTATTTGTCCACATATCAACAAGGAGCAATATGGTGCAGTGACTAAGGGAATCAGTGACACGTTTGACTAGTGACTAATTAACCAGATTTCCCTAGCACTGTTTTCAGCTAGTACTCTTTTTGGGTACTACATGAAGTTTTTTAGTTTCTTCCTTGTCTTTATAATCTGTCCCTATTCCAAAGTTTGAGAACTAGAATAACCAAGTTCAATACACTTTTCTCTGTTCTGCTGTTGATTTTAGTCCACTGACTTCTAAAGATATAGAAGTTACAGATATAGATAGATATAAATATTTGCAATCTTTGAAATAGAGAGGGCATTCCTTTGTTGGAATGGGAAAAAGATATTTATATATTTAAAAAAACTGTAAAATGAAGACAGTTGCTGAAAAAACATACCAGTAAGCAACAAAAGAATGGCTTCTTATTTCAAAGATTGCAAATTTAGAATGTTTTTAATCAGGTAGTCCAATCAAATTTGGCAGGTTTGCCATAAGCCTCTATCCAACAGCAGCTGACGTGTTACATTCACATTATATTAGAACATACAAGGTCAGCGCTGTATATGTATTTTATAGGACTGGATAATAATAAACACAACCAATAGTGCCATGACTTAAGAAAACTGCAGATTTATTTTATTTTTTTAAATAAGTAGACCAGTATGTTCTAATAGCATTAGCAGAACATACACACATAAATACTACAATGACAATTTACAATATATTTGAAAGTTAGTTTCTTTTTCACGTACCTGGTAAACACAATTTTGTACTACCCTATGACAGGAGGCATCAAAAACAGTTAAACACTCTGAGGGCAGGAAAACATTCTGTTCTGTTTAAGATGCTTGTGATAGTATCTACTATTACAGAAAAACAGAATACTAAAGATAAGAGAACAAGGACAGAAGAAAATGCATTGTTTACTACTTTTTCCTCAAGGTATGAGGGGATAGCAGCAACCAGAAGTCTGCACATTTATTTTGTTAATGCTTTGAAATCGTTTTCATCTGCACAAAAAAATTTCCAGGTCCCTGTTAAAGAATGTAGCCAAGGTCAACAAACATTAAAAATGAGAGGGTTTTTTTAAACTTTTGCGCAGCATCCTCTGCATAGCAACCTATTTCCTTCCACATTACCAACACTCCAACCCAAATTCCACCTGGTAGCCTGGGAGCAAAGCAACCACCAGCATAGCAATCGTGTGAATGTGCAACCATGGTGTGCACATACACACTGTGTTTTTGCTGTGCTCATACTGACAGCTCTTTCTTGCGAGGCCAAAGGGAATTAAAATTGACAAGAATCCTGGTCTTTGAGCATCTCAAAGAACAGTTATTTATTCATTTCTTTCCCCTGCCAGCTCTACAATTCTAAAGCCAGCAGGGAGAATACAAGGACAATGCTATGTGTACCTGCATGTCAGCAATGTTTGCTGTTAGTGGGTCACCCAGACCAACAGCTGGGATTTTAAAACTGCTGTAACCCTCCTTTTGGAAAACCAAGATGGAAAAAATAATGCTAACATAGAAAATAATAAAGCAAAGTTGGGGGGGGGTGGGGGGGGTAGATTCAGACAATTAACCTCAACTTAATCCCTTTATTAAGATCTCATCTTGACACATATGTATCATTTCTATTACTACATCAATCAATATGTGCAGTGATTATTACATTGTTTTCTTTATAAATATGCCATTGAAACAGATTTTATAACAGCTAAAATTTATGCAATTATTTTAATTGCAACAGAAATATACCTAACAAAAGGAGTCACAGAAGTTGTTGGGTTTTGGTTTTTTTGTTTGTTTGTTTGTTTTAAGTATTCTTAACAAATGGAGTTATTTTGGTAGTTGTGGTGGTGACTTGAGAAAGAAGAATAATCAGACTCAAGATTTATCTTTATGATCTTCCCTATGAAGTGAATGATGGCAACAGTTTTGGATTTATCATACGCACCATCCTCCTCAGATTGAAGATTGTCTGTATAAAGAAACACTTTATTTCTTTCCTTTGGATGTATTAGAATTAGAAAAATACAGATGACTGCAAAAGTTTTATGCAGAGAGGTAGTTAGCCATGTTACTCTGAAGTCAGGCAGAAGGCAGGGTAGATTTGCACTTCATAGGCCAAACCAGAGACGTGTAAGCTTTCATATGCAGCAGCTAACTTCATCAGATGCTATTAGAGCTGAAGGTGGGGCTGGGGACCTGCACCCATATGCATGGGGCAGCTGGGCTGGGGGGAATATCCATGTCTGGTGCAAAGGGAGGGGAGAGGAAGTGCCCACTTGCCTGGTGCAGCATGGTGGGAGGGATGGCAGTACCCTACTCGTGCAGTGGGGTGGGCAGAGCACCCACATACCCAGTGCAGAGGGAAGAAGCACCCACATGCTTGGTGCAGGGAGGAAGGAACCAAGGGATCTGAGGCCCATGCTAGTGTAGCTTATGAAGCATGTAGCACCCAGCTAGTAAGAAGCCAGATGGCCCTAAATTAGACCATAATCCTAATGCATATCATAACAAGCATGAAACCAAGGAGTCACAGACAACTGAACGCTTGAGGCCTAATTGCCCCAAACTGTCAGATATCTATTAAGTTCTACAAATAAATTATATCGCTACCTTAAAGCCAGACTCAATAAACATATTACAAAGAAATTGTCCTTTTTAATTCTAATTTTAGACTCCTGAATATTCACTTCAGGCATATGATTGCATCTGAAACTCTAGTTCAGGTACAGAGCTTAGATTCCCTACTCTGGTTGGTCAGGTAACACTACTCTCAAGCAATGCTATTTATTACACAAAGAGACTAACTAAATAGTTTGCCAAAAGCAAACATTAATGTAGCACAATTGTGAGCTGAGAAGTATTGGAAGATAGCTAACACAAGACCTGGAGAATAAAAACCCTCTTACATGCATCTAAAAATATAAGCTACATGCACCTGAATACAGCTTAGAATACATTTTTATATTGTATAACAAGATTTTTTTTCCAAGTTTCCATTTTAGATTTCAGCTCCCAAAATAAAATGAAAAGCTGAAAATTATAGTTGAAAGAATTTCTCTAAAGTTAGTATAAAAGGCTGTAACTCACCCACAGTAGGTCTCAGCCTCTCCAAGCACTGCTTGTCTTCAAGACTATATGCTGTAGAAATTACTTTGGCTCCTCTCTGTTGTGCTAACTGAACAGCTATTGTACCAAATGGCTGTAGAGGAAGTTACACCGGTTTGTTTACAAGCACAGAAATCCAATATAAATTTTAAAGAAAGAGCGGGTCTGGAAAGACCAAAGAAGAACATCTTGAGAACAGGCTTAACTTTTTTGATATATTAACCAAATATGGCTGAATTGATAAATCAGATCTTTAGGGCATCTACTCATGCTCCTACTGAAGTCAATGAAAAAAAATCCACTAACTTCAGAGAGCTTTCCCATCTGGTTTTATGAGATAAGGAAACAACTAGGGGTGCACCAACAGAGATTTTTGGGGCCGATACCTATAGCCAATATTTCAGGAGGCATATCAGCCAATACTGACCAGATTTCTGATACAGCTGCCTCCAGCTGGCAAGTCCAGTGTGGTGGATGGGGAGAGGGGAGGGAAGGGGTGTGGGGGAAGCAGATCAACACCCCCTGTGGTGAGGGAGGGAGCAGGGGCAAGGGCTGCCCAGGCGGGGTGGGGGAGGTGCACCTGCCACTGCTTGCACCCCGGGAGGGCAGGGGAGCATGTGCCCTCCAGATCTGTGCAGGGCTGCGCAAGGCTCTTCTTGGTGGGGGCTGGGCTCAAAGCAGGCGCCAGTGGTGCTGGGAGGAGGCTGCATCCACCCGAGATTTCACTGTTGCTCTGCTCCCAGTGCCGCCGCTGCCAGCCACTGATGTAGCCCTGGCTCAGTGCCCCGCCTCCACCCATACGCCAGGAAGAGCTGGGGCTGTGCCAGGTGGCTGGCAGTGGCGGTGCTGGCAGTGGAGCTGCAATGAAATGTGGGGCGGATGCAACCTCCTCCCAGGGCAGCAGGCACCCGCTCCGAGCCCAGCCCCCGCTGAGAAGAGCCTCACACAGCCCCGGCTGCAGACCGCCCCACCCTGTGCAGATCCAGGGGGCACATGGCCTCCACCCTCCCAGGGTGCAAGCAGTGGCAGAAGCTGCCTCCTCTACCCCCTCTCTCACCACGGGGGGGGGGCACTGATCTGCCCCCCTCCCCACTTCCACCACACTGGACTTACCAGCTGAAGGCAGCTCTCCAAGCTGCTGGGCTGTGTTCCTCACTGCCTCTGTGCTGCGCTGTGGCTGCGCGCATCACGGGCACTTATCAGCCAAATTATTGGCCCCATCAGGCTGATATCCAATACAGCTAGTTTTATTTTGGTACTGATCCAATATCGGACCGATGTATCGGTGCACCTCTAGAAACAGCTTAAATAGCCATAGCTCCAACTGCAGGCCCGGTGATGAAAAGAAATGACAGCTGCATTTACAGGGAATGGCACAGAGGATGTCTTTGAGGTTGGTTGCTTAAGGATGAACTGCTCCCAAAGGACCAGCTCCAATCACTTGGTATCTTGTGTATACTGCAAAGCCACAATTACGTTAATGGTACTTTGCTTCAGTGAGCTTAACAGCTTCATCGACAGTTAACAGGACAGTAATACTAAATTAAACAACAACATGAGAGAAAATTAAAGGTGGAAGTGGGAAAAGGAAGTCAAACTAGAGACTGCTTCTGCCAGCAATAATTGGCATACAGCATTAAAAGTAAAGAGCAAGTAATAATTCCCAATCCTGTGCCCACATGTATAAGATTCGCCCAATGCATTATATGGAATATCCTTTTCCCTTTTTTCTGTGTGAACTGCTTAGTAAAGGACACAACCAGAAGTAGGGTAGCAGATCCTATTAGCCTGACTGCTCATGGCAAATCCTCTGCCCCTCCTTGATAACTAGGTGGCAGAGGTAAGTAAATTATGAAATGTGACTAAGAAGCTATTCCTAAACTATTTTAAAAGGCATGTCTGTAGGGCAACAGCAGTGTTACCTACACTTGCTCCATCCATTACTAGGACAGTTTTTCCAGGAGAGACATCGGAAAGGTAATGTAGAGCTGTATATGCTCGTACACCATCACGGAGGGTCCCTGCTGCTTCAACCCAACAGACTTTTTCTGGTTTGCGAACTATTGGAAAAAAGAAAAACAAACAAACAAACAAGGGAAAAAAGCAGTGGGTGGGTAAGGTTGTGATATTTCAATAAGAACAATTTTTATGACAGATTTTATTCCTGGCTCTTTTACCACTTCACATAAGAGAGAAAAAAATTATCAAAAACCAGGACATTTGCCCAAATAAATACTTTTCCATTTCCTGAAGGTAATAGCACAATGCTGCTGCATGTGTTATTACATGGACAGATGGAATCATTCGAGTGGAGAAAGGCATTTGCTGCCTTAAAGAACAGATCATGTCATCTCTGCAGCAAACTGAGCCCTTCGGTTCAAATTAAAATACCGTGGGTTTTTGGTTTTGGGGGGTTTTTTTGTTGTTTTTTTTTTTAAAAGAACCCCTTGTACCCTGGCCCCTCAAAAGTTCCCAACGGAAATAAATCTTAAAAGGTTCTCTCTACTTCCTTTTGCACTGAGAATCCTCAAAGAGAATGAAAAAATGGGTTCAACTCATATGCTGAAGGCTTTATTTGAGCACATGTTGGAACTTTTTCCAAATGTTTTTATAACATATGTATATCTTACATTTTTGGACCCTTATATTTCACAATGGGGTGTTTTAACTTGCAACCATGCACAACATCTAAAGGCCAAGATATCAATGCTTGGGGAAGCTATGTCACTATTTTGCACCATTAAAAGTATTATGGAGTTTTGAGCTTTACCCACATGCTGGTAGAGCATGATAAATCCAGAGTCACATTGCAAACTAGACTTTCCAGGTAGAAATGCATTTGTTTCTCATATAGGCAATCTAAATGGTTCAGCTGAGAATTTAGCATTGACCTAGGAAGTGATGCTAACTTAGCTAAAATCCCAGCATACAGTTAACCCAATGAATTCTACATTCCTAAGGCACCAAAAGCCCCCCTGAAATATCTTTTCGATCTACAAATCAGGGACTGCAGTTTCACAACTTCCCCCAATACCCCTGGAGCAGAGAGTAATTACTGTGACATCCAAAACAGCTATGCTGATGAACTAGAAGAGAACTCTGGAATTCTCTGAGATGCTGTCTGAAGCAACACATATTACTGTATGTAGACCAAGCAAGAAAATAAAGGAAATCAAAAACAAAGGAGAGAGAAGTGTTTTTCTTCCGTAACTACCATATCTACTTTGCGAGCAAATTCTTCTAGCTTTCATTTTGCTTAGCCTGCAGTTTTGTATCAGGAAGAGTAATAAGCCTTTATCTTCAGTCTCCATAAACTTGTGACTTCTCACAGCCGTTAAAAAAAAAAAAATCATAACCTGAAAGATTTAACCTAAGTGATTCAACCTATAAAACAAAATTAGGAGAGATCAAGGATATTTTGCCAAGTATTTATACAGTTAAAGGAGAAGTCTGTTGTCACTAAAACACCCTTCAATAACTCTAAAAATACCTTGTAGAACTGTAAAGACTGGTTTCTCCAAGGACGGAGTCAGAACAGAAAGAAACTAGGAAGATACACTACAAAGTCATGTAGACAGTGAAGTTGCTGAAGGTGGCACTGCATCATTAGCAGAGCCAGGAATGGAGCCAAACTTCTGTGATTTTCAGTCCAGTGCTCTCTCCACTAGAGCAATTTACCTCCATGAAAGGCCAACTGAAAACATTATAGCAGCTAAGGAATGAAATGCAGGTGAAAACAGTACTATTTTCCCTGGACTTTCATCTTTTGACATTTCCTCCCTCCACTTCTAAGATGTTAGTATACATTCCAGGTGTTCCTCTGATCCCAGATGATAATTCAGGATCAGAGGTCAAGGTTCAGAGAGAAGATATTAAATTTCTCAGCAAAAGAAGGTTTTTAAAATGTTTATCTCTGTGGTAGGTCAGGGAAGTCAGCAGGAAGAGAAAGTGAAGCAACAAGAAGGAAAGTTAGGGTGGGGGGGAAGCATGAGTCAGCTTGTGCGGTTCAGTCAGAACATTAACCCTCTAAGTGATAAAGAGGAAACCAAGGACTTCTTTGGTGATGTCTTTTATTGGACAAACTGCTGGGAGAGATATTCGACAAGTTTTTGGCACAAAATGCCCCTCCTCTAGTCTGGGATAAACTCCATGCCTGAAAGCTTGTCTTGTTCCATGTACAGAATCTAATTATTGGGGAGTTCTCTTAAATTTTAAGTCATCTTGGATGTAGGTAAATATAGTAAGTCAAATAAACAACGTTTCTCCCAACTATACAGTTGATCCAATAAAAGATACTACCAAAAAGCCCTTGCTTCTTGCATACTTTCTGGACCATCACAGCTACAACATGCTGGTCCCTCTAAATAACTACTTACTGCAGGGGTGTCAAACATATCAGGACTTGCAGGCTTATCAGGCACTGAAGCCAGATTGGGCTCATGGGCTGAATAAATGATGCAAGACCAGCCTTGTGGGCTAGGTCGGACCTATAGACCAGCTCAATGAGGATACCATGTAGCCTAGCCCGACGTGGTGCCACAGGCAGTGCACAGGGCTAATTTAGAGAGCACTGCATGTGGGTCAACTTCAGGACCCATGATTTGGATGACAGTGCTCCACAGGCCAGTGCTTTGACATCCCTGCATTACTGCTGTTACCTGGGAAAACACAAACAGATCAGAGATCCAGTTAACTGGCTGTGAAAGTATTAGAGTAATAGCAATTACATACCCAAATAATGCTGATGAACCAGAATAACTTCAGAGACACCAGACTCTTCAGAATCTAGAGGTAAAATTCCTGGGAATATTGAAAATAAACTTTCAATTCAGACCAGGCATGTATTACAAATGAAATATTAGCATAGCTTTAAACCACATTTCTTTTCTTCTCAGTTTTACATAATCAAACGGAAAGAATATAGATCTGGTTTACCTCCCTAATAAGAATTGTAGAATCATGGTACTGGAAGGGGCAACAAGGCCTCTCTAGTCTAAGCCCTTTGCACTGATGTGGAACTGTCTGTTTCTAAATGATCTCAGAAAGATGCAATTCATCCCTCTGCCAAGGGAGAGTTTCTGTCCTGAAGAGCAGTGGGAGCATATGGGGTTGCAATCATAAGGGTTTAGCACTACTATGATACTTTTAATTTACACAACTGGGAGGCAAAGGTGCACACAGACAGGCATCTGCTCCATTTAAGCTAGTGTTTTGCATTAAAAGGTTGAGAATATTAAGGTAACTCCAAACATCCATCTGTAATTGAAAATTATAAATTGATTCAAGGGTGGAAAGGGTAATACATTAGTCACACTAAATCAATATATTTATTACTATTTTATTTTCTGTCTTTATGAATCACAAAAGTGGCATGAACGTCAATGATTAGCAAAGAGAGTCTAGGAAGGAAAAGAGGAGAGCCTTGTGAATATTCATTCAAATAAAACATGAATTTGTTTAAATCAGACATCTGCCTGGGATGGTTTAAGAATAATTCTTTTTAAATCTTTGTAGGCAGTCAGATTAGAGGACTCTTGTGGTCGGTCCCTTCTAATGCCATGACTATGGTTCTTATTAGGATGATTTAGGTCAGGGATGTCCAACTTTGAGAGTGGCTAGGGCTGTATGCCATATGGGCCAGGTGCCCTCTAGGCTACAAGACACATCACCAGCAGCACTCTTCTTCTCAACTGAGTTTGCAGGCTCCCTGGACTCTGTGGAGTGTACCACTTCATCCACACCACGCTGCCCCCAGAGCAAGGGGCAGGAAGCAGAAGCCAGAGTAGGGAGGGAGAAACCCCAAGAGCAGCAGCAGCCAGAGTAATGGGGGGAGTGATGCCCAGGTGGGAGTCTGCAGGCTCCAAATTAACCCTTGGCAGGCCCCAAGCAGCTCATGGGCTACACGTTGAAACCACCTAGCTCTAAGCAAAGACCAATGGTGCAAGATACCAGTATGTTTCAAGGAGAATGTTAGCATTTTCTTTTCTTGAGCTAATATACTGTTCTCTTGTTAGATTCATGCATTATGAGAAGAGGAATAGATGCTATTTCACTCTGCTCCCCTTTCTATCCTACCCAAGTGGATTAGGTATAGCAAGGAAAGCAAGGAGAAAAGGAAAACAAGAGCTGTCACACTGCAGGTGGGCATAGAAAGGGCAAGGTGTTTTGGAGCACTATGTTTAGGAAGCAATAGGATGAGTGCCAGATAGAAGGCAAGTTGGCAAGGAGGGGCAGAGAGCAAGAAGGTGGTGAAAATTGATGGGAAAGGGAAAATAGAAAACAGGCAAAGAGAGGGGCAGAAAAAAGGAAAGGGAAAAAAAGAAAGAAAGCAGGAAGCAGAAAAAAGGAGACATAGAAAGGAGGCAAAAAGTCTATCCTGACCAAAACAATGCCTTTTCAATTGAAGACAGAAGGTTGTGGGTTGAAGAACAAAAGATTTTGGCATTAGGTTAAGTTTCTGGACTCCCAAGAGAAGAATAATATGCAAGAGATGAAAGGAAGAGGGGCATCATATAGCATATTAAAACCCCCAGATCTTATAATTTTCTCAGGCATCTCTGTATCCCTCTCCTACCCAGATCTTAAGACTTTCTGAAAACAAACAGCTGTATCCATTTACACCAGCAAAGTCTTTGGCTCAAAATTACCAGCCAATTTATCTGCCATTTCCTTCAACCATTGTGCTTAAACTTAGCAAAACCCAAGTTTTGCTTTACTACACAGATGAAACCTTAGACCTCACTGTGATTTGGCTGCAGGCAAAATCCCTTTCATGGTTTAATTTATTATAGAGGCCAAGATAATTCATGAACTTGCACCAAGGACAGAAACTTCTTATCATCCTGCTTTGCATAATACATTTTGACCTGGATGCCATTACCTATATAACCTAGTCAGTCCTTCAGTCCCTTACTTTAATATGCCAAATCCAAAAGAAAAGGAGACAGCTCTTCTGAATACAAGCCCCTAGCAGTTTACATATAGACTTCTGATTTTGAAGACAGTTCAACATTGATTGTATTTCACTTCAAATTTTGAATATGAAAAAATGTATTTAGAATCCTTTCAGAAAAAAGGCCTAGAACAATCCTAAGAGATGTTTAAAGAGACTTGGATATTTTACATTTTTTAACTTAAAGGTAGCTCTACTGTACCAAGAGCAAAATGAAGCTTCAATAAATTAAGATATGCCTTTCTTGACAATTAGATGCAAACGTTGATATAAAAAGTTGTGCATTTTTTAGAATTTTTAAAGATTTTAAAATGTTACGTATTCTTAAGTAAACACCAGGCCCAAACTTATATCTGGCTAGCTCTGAGATGTTGCATCATATCAGAAGTAGGAATCTGGAAATTAATGGAAGTCAAGAGTACTAAGTACTCTGAAGAGTCTCAATACTATATTTTGAGCTCTGCAGAAAAACACAAACACAACTATGGACAGTCAGCCCTTTGAAGAACAGGGCCCAATGTCATTGCCAGAAGGCTTCATGTTATTAAATGCAGCCCTCCATTTAATTTTGATTTACAGATTAGTGCTTTATATTAATTTTCATCTCATTTGTTATATAGGGAGAGCTCAGAAGTGTTCCAGGCTACTAATGATTGCAGGGTTTGGGTCAAGGGGTAGATTTTGGCTTTTCTGTGGACTGCAGATCAGGAATGCTCCAAGAACTGCTGCCAGTTCGAGGCACAATTAATGCTGTTCTGTGATGCAGTATGCATTCCCTTTGAAAAGAATAAAGTGCTTGTGTTTAATATGTGGGTGGTATAAGATTCATTGTCTTTGACTCTTCAACTGCTTGCTTTAAAGTACTCCCCCCCCACTAAAATCATGCTAGAGAAAGCTGTACTGTTGCCATGTCTCAATCAAGGACTAATTGGCACATAAATAAGGGATGCATTATCAGACTCCATCTATTTAACTTCAGTATGGACAAATGATGAAATAACAGCAAGTTGAACAGGGTACTCACTTTACTACAGGGTCAACCGCTCTGGATGATATAAAAGAAGCATGCAAACTTACCTGGAGGAACTGATACATAGTACAGCCCTGACTCCTTTTATCTTAGCCAAGGTGAATTGTTTGTTTGTCCATAACTTTTGTTGTAAACTTCAGTTTACAACAAATCATTTTGGCAAAGATACTATGATTGTTAATGATGCACCTTTCTGACAAAAGTAATATCTACTAGGTAGTAAATTTATTGAGTAATTTCTACCAGGTAGTAAATTTACTCCATAAGGACAGTCACATGACCAACTCTCCCAAGTGAGATGCCTGCAGTGGGCGTTCTTTCAGCATCTGGCTAGTATGTTGAAGGGGAAGCCAAGTTGCACTGAACAAATGCCTATCTTGTACACCTATTCCTGTAGTCAGTTTTATCCTGATTTATGGCATGTAGTAAAGTTACTACATATTTCTCTGGGGGTATCTTTATTCGGTATTCAAGTGATTTAGCACAGTAGAACTGTTTATTGTTTGTCTACTCCACTGTGGTTAAGTGTTGTCTGTAATCTACAAGAGTCTGGAATATAAATTGGGTGCTACTTTATCAGATAGATCTAAATGTTATGAACTGTACAATACGTCATCATCAATTATTAAACCACAGGAGTTACTACATTTTTATGTGGAAAGAGTGATTTCAAATTTTCTTTCACTACATTTGAAATTAATAAAGGGCTTTCAAAATTTAGATAATCCTGGACATTTTTAACTGATTTAGGATTTTGATTTAGAGCTTTTTGGAACAACAATCAACACACGTTATATACAAGTCATTTAATGAAGTCCTTGTGCAACTTTAAACTTTAGTAACTTTGGATGTACACATGAAGAAACTAACTGTAAATGGCAACTGAAAACATAATTCATTAAGTTTTAACACAATACACCTCAAATTTCAACATAACCGCCCTCTTTTATGATGCATCATTCAATCCAATTTTCCAACTCATAGAAAACATATTCCAGTGGCTGCTGAGTGATTTCATGAATTGCATTTGCAATCCTTACCCTATGCATAGCTTACACTATGCTAAAAAAAGTTAATGCATTATGCTTTCCAATCACCATTTACAGTTTGCTTCTATCATGTGTATATCCAAAGTTATTAAAATTTAAAGTTACACAAGGACTTTATAAACACGATGTATAAAATACATATTTTATATATGCAGTCTACTACATATTAAGAATTGGACATGCAGAACAAAAAATGTGTAATAAACTTAAATTTCTAGAACAAAAGTATCCTAAACTGGTTTATTAAACTTGAGACAGCCTTGGATCTATGAATAATCCCATGGAAGTTAATGAGTATATGCTTAAAGCTCCAAAACTCAAATGCCTTGCTGGATCAAGATTTAATTTAGAATGTCAAAGTGACCAAGCCTCAGCAAACTACAAGCAGCAGCAAAATTCTGATTACCAGAAGTTACCAAATGAATATATTCTAGAGACCAGTAATAGGCATATAAAATATAAATATTGATGCCACCTTGCATGCCCACAGAAATAGATATACATCTATAAAAACAAAACCAAAAAAACAAAACCAAAAAAATCTGTATACAATTGCACTAGTGGTATAGATGATATGCAAAATTTACTCAGTGCAGTGAAGCTTTAAGCCCAACCCAGCTGAGTATTTGCCCCCGTCTCATTCAGATAATTTCCACAACAGTAACTTTTCAATTAGGATTCCAGTTAATGAAAACTGACTACTGCCAAAAGTAAAACATTACTATGACATCAAATTACAACTTTTTCAGGAAAAGAAAAATCAGAACGTCTACTTGTAATGAAAGCATTCACTGTAACTTTAAATAATTCATTAATTTATTTTTAAAATTATTTTAATTGATAAACACCAATATTAACTTACCTACTACTTCATCATCTGGTTGAAAGGAGGACACTTTATTTCCAACTTCAGCGGGGAAAATTTCAATTTGGGCAAGAGGAGAGAAAACAGAAGCAAATATTTTTGAATTTAAAACAAACTTTTTAGAGAACTTCATATACTAGCTCTCCCTTACAAAAATAAACTCTTCATGCAGGATAGACTATATCTTATTCATATACATTAAGCAAATTAACAGACAATTTTTTTCACAGCACATGAACACTTACCATATGCACCAAGGCTGTGCGAAGCTTCGGTCGCTGATTTGATTTGGAGATTTGGCCCAATTTGATAGCTGAATCTCTGAATCTAATCAGGAGACCCATTAATCTCTCCGAATCAAATCGGATGCCTCCGATTCGATTCGGAGAGATTTGACAATTCGGCCATAGACACAGCTTTATATGTTTTTTCTACATACCTCAAGGTACTAGGCGGCTCGTGACCACTGAGATGGTGGGGTGAATGGAGTGTCCCATGCGAGTGTGGGGGAGTCCCCAGCGCACTTGGTGGTGGACCCGGAAGTGAACCAGAAGTACTGGTCTACTTCCGGGTCCACTGCTGAACACATGGGGGATCCCCTGCACTCCTGTGGGACGCTCTATCTGCCCCACCATCTCAGCATTCATAAGTCACCTGGTACCTCAAAGTATGTAGAAAAAACATATAAAGCTGTGTCTATGGCCGAATCACTGATTTTTTAAATCAGAATCAAATCTTCAGAGTCGGCAAAATCGAATCAGGACAGCGATTCGAATCAGCAAATCGAATCACTGTCCCCCAAATCGGGCTGAATTGAATACTGCCTGCTTTGCACACCTCTAATAGACACCACCCCTACAAACACTACACAAACAAGAAAATGCATAAATGTTTGCAGCATCTGCACTTTAAGCAAAGTAAAGGTGGATGCTTATTGAACAATAGCTTAAATTCCTGAAACTTATTTTGTCCTTACAATTCCAACAAATACTCTTATAAAATAAATTGGAGCCCATTACAACATTTATAGTAAATATACTAGCATACTCCATTTAACACTTTGCTACAGGCTGCCTTTTTTACCTCTGAATCTTTTACATTTCAGTTTAACTGTTACATTATTTAATTAATAGTTCAAGAAAATAAATTCCAGATAATTTTACCTCCCAAGACTAACACTGAATTCAGATCATTCTCACTAACCTTAAACTAGTACACATTAAATTCCTCCTATCAAGGATGAATGTATTACATCACTGTCAATAGACTCACCCTCCAACACCACTCCAGAAATCTCCCTCCCAACAGGTAGAAATTCCTTCTCCAACTTCATTTCTGACAAAAGCTAAATTACAAAGTCATGGTTAGAACTTTTATACCAAAATTTTTTCCCTTTAGCCATAAACTAGGGATCGTATTATAAGAACACTTGAATTCAAAAATGAAAAAAATGTCCCCTAACCAAAAACATCATTAAAATAAAAGTGGCATGTACCACATTTTAAAAAATATTAAAAAGTTGATGCTGTTAAGGTCTCTCTTTCTAAAAAGGTATTTATAAGACGCATTTATAAACATGAACAAAGCTAGTAAGTACATGAACAAAATTAGTCTCCTAGTACAGTAAAAGCTCTGTTATCCGGCATCTCCTGGGAATGGGGGATGCCGGTTAATCAAATATTCCGGTTAATCAAATGTGCACTGTCTGTGTGCTGGAGGATGCGGAGGGGGCGCCTGCACAGGCTGCTTTTTCCCGTGCAGGCTGCTTTGCCCTGGGCTGTGGGCCAAAAAAGTGGCGAAGAAAAATTCAGCTCATGGCAGCGAAATGGGAAGTCCCCCGAAAGTAGTACTTCCGGTTTCGCTTTTCCCATGTCGCTTGGATGCCGGTTAATAGAGTTTTCCAGCTAATAAAATGCCGGTTAACACAGCTTTTACTGTATTAAAGTTGTAATTTAGGTCTTAGTGACATTAGCACATTCAGGCCACATGTTCATAAGCCTGAATGCAGAATGAAGTCTATATATTCTGTACTCTTCAACAGAAATTAAAGCCCTACATAATGTAAAAAACTTTTGAGGTCATCTAGTCCAGTCCCCTGCTCAGGGCAGGACCATCCAACTGGACAGCCTCAGCCAACTGTCTGTCTAACCTACTGCTGAAAACTTTCAAGAATGGAGATTCCACTTCTCCAGGCAGCTTGTTCAAATGTCTGACACCCCCTCAAAGACAAAGTTCCTCTTAGTGCGTTGCAGTTTGAGGCCATTACTCTTAGTCCTGTCCCCTACAGACAAGGAAAAAACCCATCTCCAACCTCTCTATGACCATCTTCAAGTACCTTAAGGGAGATTGTAAAACCCCATCTCAGTCTTCTCTTCTCCAGACTAAATAAACCTAATACTTTCAGCCTTTCCTTGCAAGTCTATTTCCCAGGTCTCTAATCATTTTTGCTGCTCTCCACTGGATCCTTTCCAACTTGTTCACATCCTTCTTGAAGTGTGAGATCCAAACCTGGACACAATACTCCAGGTGAGGTCCCACTAGTCCCATAAAGAAGAATCACTTCCCTTGATTTGCAAGCAACACATTTGTTATTGCAAATTAGGATGCTGTTGGCTTTTTTTTTTTTTTATTGCGCAGTAAGAGCACATTGTGAGCTCATATTCAGCTTATGACCCACTGTAACCTCCAGGTCCTTCTTTGCAGTACTGCAGCCAAGCCAATCATTTGTCAGTCTGTATTTTTAACTTCAATGATTCCATCCCAGGTGCAGGACTTTGCACTTGGCCTTACTGAATTTCATGCGATTGATTTTGGATAATTTCTCCAGTTTATCCAGCCAGCCACTTGGGATGCCAGGTTTACCTTCCATAATAGGTACAACTTCACCTAACAAATTAGTTTTATTACTATAGATAGCTCACAGCTGGCAGGTTGATCTCTCAAAAAAAATTAGGTACCAATGCACAGGTGCCTTTTATTTTACTTACATTAAATAAATGAACTACAACACTGCAATATGATTCCATTCTCAACTGGCATGGAAATGGAACCATGCCAGTTTATCAGCTGAGGATCTGGTTAAGCTTCCAGATGGGAAGAGTCAACTCTGCTAGCTTTACTTAAATTTTGTAAAAATAAATACCTTTGTATCCATCCAGCTCAGAGCACAGGCTTTAACTTGTACTTTCACATCATTGTCTCCTGCAACAGGAAGGTTTTCCTAAGACAAATTTACACATATTACATTATATAATGCAACATGAATGTGCTGGTAAAAATCAACAGAAGACTTTGGGAACATTTTTTTTCGGAGTCCTAAATCCCTAGTACACAATAGTTCACGTGTCAAGAATGATTTCACATAAAAAGAAAAAAAGAAAAACAGCATTAAATTTATGTGTTACACCATATATAATCACATTTTAATTTTGTATATACTTTTATGATACAGACACTAAAATGTTTAATAAACCCCAATATTGAACTATTCCGAATATTTCGTTTTCATTTAGCAACTAACTTTACAAAACCTACTTGTAGCAAAATCAGCACAATAAATTTTCTTTAAATAACTGTAATTTAAACTGAAGAAAAAAATGAAGTAAAGTTTATATCATTAAAAATAGTAATAACAGTAAATGTAGAGAATTTTATGTCACTAAGAACTTCTAAGACTAAAGTTAGGGTCTTAGTTTGTTATATTTAATCCTTCAAGCAGTCACATTTAAGTAATCGATCTGAAGTCAAAGTAATTATCTGCATGAATTGGGATTATCGTTTTAATTTACAGAATCACTAAAACACCTTCAGTTGCTAGAAAATTTCTCCTGACATCCCTTCTAGGATGACCTGAGGATTATAAATTAGGTCTGCACTGTAAACTGCAATATAATACAAGAATGAGCATTAAATAAGATCTCTCAAAAAGACAATGCTTCTTAACAAGGTAAATTAGTCCATACCCCTAAGTTCTGTGCTGCTGTATTTTAGACTGCTTCTGGTAACCAAACTAGCTCATTTAAATTTAGCTCAGACTTCCTTAGATTATTCTGCAGACAGAATTCTGAAAGTACATCTACATTGAAGTCCATGGGAGTTTTGCTATTGATTGTAAAAGGGTAGAATTTTACTGTTTAGGTTTTCCTTCAATTTGTCTGTTTCAGGTCCTTTATCATAGAATCATGGCTACCAATTTTCTCCTAAGTTTAACATCTCCTACTTGTGGGTCACAGGCTTTTTGTCAGTCTGATAAACAACAAGTCAGCTTAACAGTGTAACTTTAATCTCCCTTTGTTATACAAGGTACTACACTGCCAGACCACTGCAAATAGATGAATATTTAATTCAGTTAATTATATTTTTTGTGAAGCCCAAGAGACACTAAGTAAATTTATATTTTAAAATAGGGCTGTCAATTAATCGCAGTTAATATGAATGATTAAGGCAAGAACCAATTAATGCGTTAATTTTCTAACGCGTTAATTGTGCACATGGTTTTGGATCCTGCACCCAGGCTGCCCAGCCCTGCTACCATCACCACTGCCTCTGGGCCACACAGTGGGGCAGTGGTGGCAGTGCAGAGGAGCCGCAAAGCAGCCCAGGTGCAGGCTCTGGACCACTGCAGCAGGAAGGGGGGAGAGGGGAGGCACACCCATGCCCCCCCCCCATCCAGGCCCTTAAGCAGCAAGGCTGGCAGAGGCAGGGGTTTGGGGAAGGCAGCGCTGAGCCATGGCAGGGCTGCTTGGCATCCTCCGGCCCCAGGGCTCGGGCTCAGGGTGGGTTGAGACTGCCTGGGAGCTCTAGCACAAGCCGCCTCCAGGTCCACAGGGCACATCCCCAGTCAGGGCCCCCAGGGAGCAGTGGCAACAGTGGCCCTGCGCTTCTGCAGAGGAAGCTGCTGCCAGAGGGTGGGGGCAGGATTCCCATGGAGCCACCTCCTGCAAATAAACGAGGAAGTTCGAGTCCGGGCTGGAGCAGCTACCCCCACCCTGGGCTGCCCATGGCTGCCGCTACTAGGGAAAGGGTGGAGGGAGCCCACCGCTGCTGGGGCCATGTTTGGGCTATGGGCATGCCCCTGGCAACTCCGTGAGATCCTGCTCAGATTGGACATCCTTCCAAGGCATGCGGGGGGTCCCCCCTCCCTGGGTTCCAGACCCCTCTATAGGCAACCCCCTGTCCCTGGCTCCAAACCCCACACACCCTCCCACAAATTCCACTCCCCCTACATATACACCCCACACCCATCACCCAACCATACGAAGTACCTGCATAATTTTGAGTTTTTCCACGCATAACATTTACAAGTTTGTAGCTGTGCAATTAAAATTGCAATTAATTGAGACTAATTTTTTTTTTTTTTTTTTAAATTGAGCAACTAATCGCAACCAAAGTTATTAATAGTTTGATAACCTTATTTTAAAACATGGTAAGACTTTAAACTTCTGGCATAATGACTGTCCTTTAATCAGATAAGCTTATCTTACTGGGGAGTGTAAGCACTATCCCAATAAAACACAAGAAACACTTGGTTTTCATGAATAACTAAAACTCCACCCATCTCATATTAGGAGTGCTACTGATGACTGTCTTTTACATTCATTAGATAAGGGAATCATGGAGCAGGGGCCACTGGTGATAAGCTGACAACATAAAGATACCTTTACTTTAAGCTCTTTATTCAGGCTTTAATAAGGTTCCAGACCTTCCATTATGTATTGCAAGGGTGGAGCAAGTATTTGGGTCCAAGTGCCAGGGAGTTTTGATGAGCTGTTGCAGGCTAGGTCAGCACCGCCCCTCCCGCCACAACAACTCACCAAAACTTGCTATGGGGTTATAGGCACTTAGGGAGCATTGTTCAGGAATGGGAGGGGTAGGCAAGGCTGGAATCATGGGGCTGGGTCACAGGGCAGTTACAGCTCTGGGGGGCTGTGGGGTTGGGAGAAGGAGGGGGTGCATGTGTGGGAAGAAGGCTGCCTGAGTGCTAGCTCCCAGGAGGGGAGGCAGGGTTGGGCAGAGGGCGCATGCAGCAGAGCTTTCCTAGGCAGTGTGGTCTGTGCTACCCCCACGGCACACCACATGGGACCAAGCCCTGCCTGCTCGTGCTGGGACAGTGTGCGCTATGCTCCTGCCAGTGCCCATGGCCCAGTCCAGCTGGGTGCCATTGCTCCAGCTCCCTGCTGCCTTCTGATGGAGGGTGGCCAGGCACTGGAGCCCTATGCACTGGGGAAGATGCTTGGCTGAAGCTGCTCACCCAGAGCAGTGCGGTATAGCAGGAGCAAGATCAGGATCAGTAGCCGGCACTGGAGGCATGGGGAGCAGAGCAGCACCTGGCTCCAGCTGCACTCAGAACAGCCCTGCTGGAAGTGGCAGGGGGAGGGGGAGCCGGTGGGGGGCGGA